TGCCTATTCCACGGGGAATAGCTATGAAATCTGCCATATCATAACAATTAAAAATTGTAATGTTAGACATCAACTGAAACTGCGCTCTGGTTCAATGCTTCTAGCAGTCTGTTAGTTTTGCAGGGTTTATGGCCTGTTGGTTGGTGGAGAACACAGTTCACTTGCCACTCTTCAGATTTTAGAGATGTTTAAAGGTCTAAATGAAATCAGCTAATTTGTGATATGTTAAATGGCTGAGTCCTAATGGGGCTTATCGAATAGATTTTTGATTGCCACATAGGCCACACCACTCCCAGGTTTTTTGAATGTTAGAAGACCCCTTTCATCATTACTACGTGTATGCTTTTAATGTAAATGTTTTGGGCCAGTGCTTCTCCCACAGCAGCAGAAGGGGTGTTCCTTCTCCAGTCAGTTCCTTAGTTCTGTCTACTTAGGAAAGATCTTTAAAGAAACTTTGGACAGTCACTTCAACAAGAGGCAAGGTGATGCTTTTAAAGCAACAAAATCACTAGAGCCCAGAGTGATTGGTTTTGAATTATAACTCTGCTGAGCAAAGATAAATACTACCACATAGCCTGGAACTGCAAAAGCATGTGAACAAACAATACAAACAACCAAAAAAGACAGCACTTACTCCTCTTAGTGCCTGGGAATGTCTTTGTTTAGTGAGTTTGATCTAATCCTGCAACTTGTGTCTGTTGTTTTGGTTTTTGTTTTTTCTTTCCTTGCTCTAGCTTATCTACATTGCCTGCTCGTATGCCACTGTGTATCTGATCTACATGAAATTTAAGGCCACCTATGATGGAAACCATGATACATTCAGAGTGGAGTTTCTGATAGTTCCTGTTGGTGGACTCTCATTTCTTGTCAATCATGACTTCTCTCCTCTGGAGGTGAGTTGATTGTGGGCAGGAAGTTATAGTTTTTTTCTCCAAAATATGAAGATATTTTTAGGCTGATTGAGGAATGCTTGAAAGATGCATATGTTTAGTAGGTTCAGGCTAATCCTGTTTCCTTAAAGCGTCTTTACAATATAGATTTCTGTGAAAATTTAAGGCACTTCATGAGACTATCATTATTATCAACACTGATTATTTTATTAAGCAGAAGACAGTACACTCTGATGGTTATATTATTTCAAAAGTATCCTTCCTTTTATGCAGTTTGTGAATAGTTGGTGCCAACAAACTGGTGAAAACAAAAGGAATTGCAATACTTCTTGAATTTTGTAGAAACACAGACATTCAGGAGTATTGGAAAGAATTGTATTGTGTTTGAAATGCAGCTATGTGGTTTTCTGTGAGAAAAATTATATTAAAAATGTAATTGTAGAGAGTTCAAACAGGTAGTTTTTCCCACAACAGAGAATAACTTTAGATGCTTATTTTAAGTGGGCTGAGCTGCTTTTCTATATTTAGTACAGTAAAATTATTTTATTAGAAAATAAAGGAATCTTAATTGAGACACTATGTTAAATTTTGTTCTGTATTAACTGATTCTTTAAACTGATGGATTAATGAAGTTGAAAGAAGATGGGGAAGAAAGGATTTTGTCTTCCCTTCAGCTTTTTACAGCACCAGCTCTGTAAGCTGTGTTTCATGGGACTGAATCCTGAGCTCATGGATGCACATAAGTTTTCTCATGACTAAACCTATGCCTGCCAGCTCGCTAGACAGCTGATTCGGAGTCTGTTGTTTTCCAGGAGAGTTGTTTCCCTATACCATCCTGTGGTTGATTATGAAGCTTTCGCTTGTTTTTTTCCTGTAGCAAGAATAGTTTGCCAAAATACTGTACCTATTCATAACATTTTAAAGAGTCAAAAGTCAGGCAAAGTCAAATATTTTCTGTGCTTCTGTTATCAGTAAGGCAGTTGAATATATCTGTGTGTTGTTTTTTTTTTTTATTCTTTCAGATACTGTGGACCTTCTCCATCTATCTTGAATCAGTTGCTATTCTCCCTCAACTTTTTATGATCAGCAAAACTGGGGAAGCAGAGACCATCACTACCCACTACCTTTTCTTCTTGGGTCTGTACCGTGCCTTGTACTTAGTCAACTGGATTTGGCGCTACTATTTTGAGGGATTTTTTGACCTCATAGCTGTTGTTGCTGGTGTGGTCCAGACCGTTCTTTACTGTGACTTCTTCTATTTGTATGTTACAAAAGGTAAGTCATGCAATAACTTCCAGCTTCAGCTTGTGGAATGTAGCAGTTAACACGTTCACAGGAATCTGCTGTATCGACATTACTAGGTTGTTAATTCTGTGTGCAAATTATCACTGGAACCTCCTTGATAGATTTATGAAGTACACTTTCTGTAAGCATGCAGTATTTCTGAGGATTGGTTTTGAGTATGGATAGAGTATAAATTGTCTGATGAACTTAATTGACATGGTTAAAATGAGTATGGCTAAATACATGTTGCTGTTGTCTTCCATTGATGAGCGTGATCCATATGCTTCTCTTGACAATGTACACTGCTCTGTGCAGATTCCATGCTTACAGACACCTTTCTCAGTGTTTTAAATACTCAGAGTCCAAAGGATTTTGGATGTTTCTGTTCATGCTAAGTGTAGAAGCAGTCATTTCTGCTGGGTGTTTTAGTAATTCTATCCTTATTCACATTCCAGCTTCCATCATATCTCTACAGAGCTATATGGGACTGTGGTGTTTTTAGTCCTAACTCTTAAGAAATCACAGTCATAGGCTAGGTATGTCCTGTGAGGATGAAAAGTGAGAATTCCAGGGTGCCACAAGAGGGCAGGATTGGAATAGTTGTTAATTTATCACCGTTTTAGTAGCATGTATTAAAGAGAGAGAGGCAAGCTTGGAGGACTGTCTGTGGTGCACCTGTTCTGTAACTGAGTGACCCTGTGTGACAGGTTTTGGTCCCTTTGAAATTTAAACAGTATGTGCTTCTCCTAGACCACATCTTTGTTTTACTAATTGTTTTCTTTTCTACTTTTCCTTACAGTACTCAAGGGAAAGAAGCTCAGTTTGCCAGCGTAAGTGCCAAAAAAACCATCACCAGCATCTGTCCTTTTGGATGCTTGGACAGAACAATCCTTATCACAAGCAAAGGTGAAGATGCTTGAGACAGAAAGTCAGAAACACAGCTCTTTATAGTGCAGGTAGTCATCAGCGGCTCTGTAAGAACGGAGGAAAAACAACCAGCAGATTTCTGTTTGATGCATCTTGCCTTTATCTTTTTTATTACTATGTATAAAGATTTTTTACATAAAGAAACTTATACTGTATTAATAAATTCAGTGTATAGTTTCAATTGGAATAGTTCCAAAAGTGAAATTTTTGTGAGATTGTTTATGACCAGGAACAAGTGCAAACTTTTTTTTTAATTTTCAAGAATTTCTTTGAAATGACTGATTTTTTTTTTTCTTTTTTTTTTTTTTTTCCAGTGCACAGATATGTGCATCCTTGATGGATGGTAGTCATCTGTTCTTTCCCTTTGATTCAATTTTCATTCCACTATATTTATTTTTTTCCAAAAGGTGAATATATGTCAACTCTAAATCTGAAACCACCGATGTTCAATGTGATGTACTGGTGCCCAGTCTTTGTGCCATCTGCTGACATGGAGTTTTCTTCTTTAAAATATATGTTGGTGCTAGAAGGGGAACAGTCACATTTTGTAGCTGTTCTCCTTCTAAAACAGGCTGATGGCAAGAGAACAGTAAGGAAATCTGTTGAGGCCACAAGGGTGGGTCCCTTTCCTGTTTTGCCATGATGTTTGGGAAGGTAATCCCAGTGATGAAAGCACTTGGCAGCGCAGGTCGTGAAGGGTACGAGGTGCAGTTGTGTTGCTTAGTGGCAAATGTTTGTGACTGTATTCTTTGTCCAGGAAAAGAAGGTTAAATATCTGGGATGTACAGCCCTGCTACACCACTGCAGCTTTAGAAATGGGAGACTTGTAAGTTGTTGATAACAGTAATCTGTAGGTGATTATTTTAAACAGTATCTACATTTTCTTTTAAATTAATGCTTTATAAGCAACTTCCATGTTCAGCTTCAAGTGGTTTTTGATGTCACTTTTGGACAATTAATATTTTTTTTTATAAACTTTTCAAAATCAGCAGCACCAGTTACCATTCTTTATCCTTTAAATGATTCCCTTTTTTTACTGAGCTGTTGCATGATTTATCCTGTGTTACCATCCTCAATAAACACTTTATGAAATGGTGAAAATGTTTTTTTTTATTCCTGAATTAAAGTTTTCTGTTAGCCTGGGACTGGATGAAAAGTTGTAGTAAGGACAAGTTACTTAATGTCATTGTTTGCTCTGCTGAAATTAACTTTTTAAGGCTACAAGGGGCATTATCACTGGATGAAGAAATGGTGACTTTGACTTTTTACAGAAAAAGCAGAACTATCTCCAGGGTTTGGAGGAGGATTTGGTACTTGTATATATTTTTGATGTGTCTTCTCTAATGTAGTTTACTATGGTTGCCCCCCTAGTTAGCAGTGGTTATCATTCCTAACCCCAACTGTGAATAGTGTTTTTTTATCTGCAGAGTGCATATGCTAAGATGCTGTGCTCTCCTATCCTGGACACTACACTGAGTATCCCACTGCTGTTCAGAGCTGATTAAAACAACGTCTGACCCTGTAACTAAACACTGTCCTAGCTGCAGCCTCAGAGCGATGTGAGAGCGGTGCTTGTCGGTAGGAGAGAGCACTGCAGGGCCGGGGTAGGTTACTGACTGCCTCGGGGTTAGCGGTGTCCTTTGATTCAGTTGCAGGGTCCCTCCCGGGTGTGTCCCGCGAGTGCGGGGAGCAGGGCCGCTCCAACCCAAGCCGGCAGCTCACGCTGCCTTCTGTA